TCTTCTATGCTTCAGGACAGAACCTTCTATCTTGTCATTGCAGCACCTGTCACATCCTTAATCACTTAGTCATATATGGTGTGCCGTATGACTTAAATAGAGGTCAGTTTATATTCTAGGAACCATTTACACAAAAGTACAAAAAATCTTAAAATAGATCTAAGCCTAATGGCTAAATACTCATATAAGCCTAAACATGGTCATGTTAATTACAAATGTGTTTTCAACCTTTAAAATCTGCAACTTTTAAAATGATATCGGGTGATTCCGCAATTAAGGATCCTGCTTGAAGTGTCCTTCCGGCACTTTCTATTATAGGGTGGCAGCGGTTTCCCAATAGCGCTTCTGTTTTGGCACCCTCTCAAATTAGTCTATGGCAGAGACTACAAGGGACCATGATAACCCATATGTCTACTACTATTATCGGGAAGATTGTCCTGAGCAATGATGTACCGCCAATGCTGAAGTGAGTACATGTAGATATAAAGTGACTAAAAAAAAATTGACAGCGATCCAAAGAAAGATGAAGAAAAGTGAAAACGAGATTTTATTTAACCACTTGAGGATCTTGAATGTAAGAGATAGGCCCAAAAAATGTCAACAAAGGTTTTTAGAACACATCTTCATCCAGTTACTCTCCCTCCATCACTATTACTTATAAAATGACAGCCAGTAATTGCTTGGCATGACACAGCAGGAGTGGCTGTCAGGATGCAGCCACTCCTATGTAACATGACATTTGCAGATATTCTGCAAGTCTAATTGAGTAAATATAATTAATCAATGTTGTACTTTAGTGTATTTATTATTTGCTTCACATGTAGATCAAAGTTGTAACCTTGGATCTGCACATGACATTACTTAAAGGAGAACTATGGTGGTCAGTGTTTTTCCCCATAGTTCTCCTTAGGGTACCGGGAGGACACAAACTAGCGTCCTCCCGTCACCCTAAGCTCAGTATACCGCGAGCTACAGCTCGCGGTATACTGAGACGCCGCACCTGGAGCGGATCCCCGACGTAGATGACGGGATCCGCCCAGCTGCGTGAGTGACAGCTGGCTCTTCCTATCTAGAGGCAGAGCCAGCTGTACCTGCCCCCTCCCCCGTCCGTTCCGCCAGTCAGCACTGGCAGATCGGAGCGGGGAGAGGGGAATCCAGCCCCTCCCCCTGCCAAGGGCGGAGAGCCGTGACAGGATCGAGAGGTGAGAGAACCCGGTATGTGTTCCCTCACCTCCCGATCTACTGAGCCGACCTGTGACAGTCTCATTGTCACAGGTCGGCTTAGAACTATGAGGTGAGTGGAAATCACTCATCTCATAGTTCTCCTTTAAAGAAATCTTACAAGTCAATTGTTTTCAACAAAATCTATTCCTTTTTAGCCCCTTATTGACCCTCATTTACCCCAATCAGCCTTAAATAACTAACTAATTCCTCCCCTTCTCCCTTTAGCCATTATTTTTCTGCTTAATTTTATATTTTATTTATTTTTTTAACATTAATATTTCCTATTTAATTTTTCTTTTAACTTATTTTTTTTTTTTATATTTAATCTTTATTACAATCCACATCCCCTCCAACATTCCGGGGAGCGGGATGGGTGCATTGCATGGAGTCTGTCCGGGGTGAAATACCACCTTGCCAGTAATTTAAATGAAGCCTCCACCACATAGGTGCTTATTGAGGATGCAGAATTAAGGCTAAGAAGCCTTTCTTTCTGAGTGCTTGTTGAACGTATGACGGGTCATAAGAAGTCCTTGAAGATAACAGTATTTTATACATCCGCGAGAGACCATGTGATGGAGGATTTATTTGTGATAGTAAGGTCTCTAGAGGATGTAAATTTTCTACCGTTCTAAGTGGCATGGGGAGTGAGGCAACAAAATGATTTAGCTGCTGGTACAGCCATTTATCCCAGGGTCTAATCCCATACTTCTTTTGTATCTTTTGTAATGTATCTACCTCGCCGGAGTGTTGTAGAACCTCATATAGTTTAGGGAATTTATCAGTCGACCAATGTCGTAGGCCTTTATCCCCTAATCCTGGGGGGTAGAATGAATGTCCTATCAAGGGCAATAGTGGAGAATTGTAGGGGCCTACCAGTTGTGGGTATAGTTTTGTCCATATGATTAGAGTAGTCCTGGTCAATGGGGAGGTAGAATATAACTTATTTTGATTGGTTTTTGGCAGCGTTGTATAACAAGAAAATGCACACAATTGAAGAAAATAACTTTTCATTGCTTTCTATAATAAACATAATTTTATTGTAATCTTATACTGAACCAAATATATAATAAAATGTATAATTTTTATTTACAGTTTCTTAAAATCAACACTGGTCAAAATAAGAAATTTATCACATCTTATTGTCTACAGATTCCTCAGAAAATAAAATAATTTCTGCAAAACAATATTGCCAAAAGAAAGCCTAGTA